TACTCTGCTTCACATTTGTAGCAGTTTGCACTTCACCACCACATACTTCATCATTCCCCTCAATAGACTTCTTGCCAACTATCTGATTTACCACCTGCTCCTCGGCAGGTTTTTTTGGAACCCACAACTTTTTTTCCTTAGCAGTGCATTTCCTCTCTTCATGCCCCAGGTTTCTACATTTACCACATCTGATAGGCTCCCATTCATAGACCACAGGCTGTTGGAACACACCCTTTGGACCAATAATAGGAATTACACGGGGCAGAGTGTCCGTGATTTCCATCTCTACTAGCATACGAGCATAAGCCACTCTTTGCCTTTTGGCTGTTAATGCATCAGTTGCAATAGGAACTCCTACATAACTTGCTAGCTTTCCTAAGCTCTCAGGGTTCCAAAGACTCAAATGGAGTTCAGGAAATTGGATCCAGACAGGAATCTTACTGATATCCAAATTGTCAGGATCAAAATCTGGAGTCCACTGTTTCAAAATCAAAGGGTGCCCATTAAATGTCCAGCGCCTCTCTAGCACCGCCTGCTTTGCGTTTCCATTACCAAAATCAAATAAGAAAACTCCATTTCGCAGCATAAATGCCTTAGGCACCTGGAATTCCCTCCACCTGTTATTCACGAAATTAGCAATATCCTTAAACTCAGGTTTAGATCCCAGAACATACCCAACAAGAGCATTCTCCCAAATCTTTGACCCTTGAACCCACTCATCCTCGGTAATAACCACAGCACCAGTTGGATCTTGAGGTTTTATGTATTGCAAATCCCATCCTTTACTGATATCCCTATTCCCTTCCACAACCGAAGCCCAACTACGCAGTGGCTTCTGCTTTAGGGATGGTTGAACTTCCCCTTTCTCCTTCTCAATCAGGTCACTCCACCGAACACTAGGAGAACTCGCCGTACCGGATGTAGAACCAGCTTCCTTTTCCCCCGCAGGTTGCTTCATCTGGATGACAGAGGGCTGAGTCTCCGAGTGCACTCCCTTCTTTCCCTTCGCTGCTTTCCCTTCCACGGGGTCGGCCTCGTTCTTCCCCTTATCTGCTCTATCATCCCTGGAACCAGCATCAGATCTGCTTTTCCTCTGGCCTTGCGTCGAGACAGCTAGATCTAGCAAAATCCCTTCATCGTCCCCTTCTTTCTCCCCTAGATCTGGGCTCAAACGCCCTGATTTCTCACTTTCAAGACCCATCTGGTGAGGATTGTGAGCAGCAAGCTTCACGACCTCTGTTTGCTCTTTGTTGGTTTCCTCAACTGAGATGCTATTTTGCTCCCCATTATCATCTTTCAGATCTCTGGTTTTTGTTGCAGACCCACCCTTGGGCGGCGGATCTTTCTTTCTCGGCCGGCCTCTGCCCCCCATCTCCGGCGTTTCCAGCTAAACCACCACGCTCGCGAACAAGAGCATGGTTGACGGAGACAGGGGAGTTTTTCCTTTATATTAACTAATTTATTGATAAAGAAATTTAACTTTATTAGTTATTTATGAGAATTATTTTGATATTCTTGATTAGTGGAAGAAGTTGATTTCTCTATTAATAGCAATAAGTTTTATTTTATTTATTATATTACTTATTATTTTATAATGATGCATGTGCATTGTATTAACGATTTTTATGAACTTATACAGATATTGATCTTAAGATCTTGAGGTATAAAGTATAAAGTATAAAGGCTTTTTTGGAAGTGTATAGACTTCTTTTGAAGTGTAAAGACTTTTTTTGGAAATGTAAGGGAGATTATCTCCTGAGTTTCTATGAAACCATAATAAAGTTTAAAGGTTTCTTTGAAAAAGTGTGAAAGGAATTATATCCTGAGAAAAGGGTTTCTTTGAAATTATAAAGAGGATCGTTGTGGTTTTAACATTATATATATTGTATGAATCACGTTATGTCAAACCACACTACATTTTATCACACCTATTGGAATTAATGTTTTTGGAGATATTTGATACTTGTGATTGTGAAGGATCTTGTGTTATTAGAGACACAATGACCGCACAGTTTGGTATTGGTATGTTCATTAAACGAAATTCTATATTGAGATCTTGATTTATATTTGTGACCACTAAAGTTGTGTTTGATCCAAGAGTTATTTTTTTAAAAAATATATTTTTAAAATTTTAAAACCAATTAGCGTTGCCCAAGTGAGAGAATGTTGGGAATTTTTATGTGGGTTACCGATAATTGTATTTAGTTTTCAAAAATTGGGTTAAATGAAAAAACCAATAAAGCCCAATAAAATAATGTGATCCAAGTGGGTCTAGGTATAGGACCTAAAAGTAAAGCTGGGTTATTTGATGGGGGTACCCAAAAAATTATTATAATGAGTTAGGTCCCCTCTCTCGTTCAGAAAACCCTATTTTTATAAATAGTAGAGTTAGGGAGTTGCACGACCTATTGGTTGTCACTATACAGAAGTTGATTAGGGAGATGAAGACCTAAATCCCAATATTAACTATATTTGTTTTGTAGGTTTTGTCATGAGATCCTTAATTATAATGATTCTTGGAGATTCTTAAAAATTCTTATGTAATATATTGATTAAGGAGATCCAGCTACACAATTTACTTATTTATTGATATTATGTATTACGTATATTATTGATTTGAATGATTTGGACCTTTAGAATCTAATTTGGGAGATTGATTATTTAAGTAAATTCCTACATCCAAAACTAAATATTTAGTTGGGAGACAGATGTTTAAAACGAAAAAATCCCTCGGAAACTTGGCCGGCACTTGGAAGTGTTTGGCTCTTGTTTGGTGCAAGGCATTAAAGAAAGTTTGGGACTGTGGGTTTATAATACGGAGTGACATGCCGTCTGTGCTAGGATTTATTTTCTTCCAATTGGTATGTGGTTGCTGTTGGTTTCTCAAACTGCTAACAGCTTGAACGAGTAATGGTGTTTCTGTCCACTTCGACTCCTGTTTTGTCCATGTATATTTTATTTTGAAGCATGCCCTTGCCAGCTTGCATGCAGAAAAGGCGTGGGTGAAAATTAATTTCTTTGAAGATTGAGCCCAGCAAGTGGCACGGATTCCTTTTTCAGGTATGATAATTGATTATAGATGGCTATTTCTTAAGACTCGCTTGGCCTAACTTGTTTTTATATTAACTATTGGGTTAAAACTCCATGTTAATCCCTTTACTTTGGTGAAAAGGTCCCTTTTGGACTCTATACTTAAAAAAACTCTTTTTTAGTCCTTCAACTTTACTTTTTGTCCATTTTTTGGTACAATCTGACATGTCATTCAAATGATTGATTCATTTTTTTTTTTTCATGTAAGACCTGTGATATTGAATACATTTACTTATTTAATGATATGTAAAAGTTTATAAAAAGTGATATAAAAAGGTTATTTATATAGCACGGCTCTTACTTTTTTATATAATTGATGTGGAAATCCATGCTATCAAAAAAGATTACGTGGACAAAATTATAAGTCCATGTAAGCATTTCATCTAAATATCTTGGTCACTTGTACAAATTAAAAATTTTATTTCTTAATTCATGAATTAAATGAATTTAAACAAGATTAACTTTAATTTCTTCATCTTGTTTGTCCTCATCTTTATCCTTATGCTCAACATCATCATCGTCATCATTATCTTCTCCATCCTCTTCATCATCCTTGTTTCCATTGCTTGCAAGACTTGCTGGTCATCTTTGTTGAACTCGAAGTCAAGCGTGATGGTGAGCATGGACAGGGGCAAATTGTTGTTTGTAAGGTAGGAGAAAGGCATAATGGGGTGAAGCAAGGTGGAGGTGCATGGTTGGGTAGTTAGGGGCGGTGAAGGAATGGAGATGGGGATGGATGGTTGTAAGGGGTTTGATTGGAATTTCTTCTCTCCTCTACAAAATTTCTTCTCTCCTTTATGACATTTCTTCAAGGGAATGGATCAAGGGAGTCAATACCGTACTGGCATGCGTACCAGTTTTGTTACTGGAACGGTACATACCGGATACCGAAATTTTTCGCGTACCGTTTCGGATTTATCGTTATAAATATATTTTTATAAGAGAAATTAATGTAATTCCTTTTTTTTTTTCAACCATTAACCTAAACCCATTATAACCCAAGCAAAGATACTTTAGATGGTTTAAGTTAAAGACATTAAGATAATGACAATTATTAAATAGATGATAGCAAATCACATTCAATTTATAAAAGTTAAAAAGACTGAATGATGAAACATATACTTAATGGTTCATCATAAGAGTTCTTCAATTGTTTCTGTCAAGTGACAATTATAAACAAACAACAAAACTAATGATCTTGTACATAATTATAAGGATCCTCATGTGGAGGAATTCCATAACCTGTAACTCCACCAACTCCAGTCCAAAGTTGTTCACTTTCATTTTCAAGAGGAACTTGTGGGACATCTTCCTCATCATAAACAATACTATCAGTATCATCAAGGATTTGATTTGGCAAAGACTCATCAATTGCTGCCCAATCTACATCATAATCATCTTTATCAAGAAGAGTTGGCTCCTCAGCCACCCAATAAGCTAATATGTCAATATTGTCAAGACTAAGAGGATCCATTGCTTCTTTGCCCCTATAAATAATTCTATAAACAAACAACAATCACAACTAACATTTTTTTGATTTCTATATAAAACATAAACGTGCATAAAGTATATGCAAAAAAAAAATATAAATTTTTAAAGCAATTATAATATTTTAAAGATATTATACCTTTCTCGAAGCTTCAAATTATAACAAACAAACACAAGGGCATTCAACCTTTCATGCTCTAGCCTGTTCCTCCTCTTAGAATGAATAAAATCAAAAGCACTCCAATTCCTTTCACATCCAATTGCACTTGTGCATTGGCTAAGCACTCGAATTGCAAACTTTTGCAATTCGGGTGCATCCGTTCCAAATTGATCCCACCATGCAACTATAAAAACAATAAAATACAATGTGCATTGAAATAAGTAAAATAAAAACTTTTTAAATAAAATGAAAAGAGAGCTAAGATGAAAGAAAATTACCTGGATTTAACTTTTCTCTCTGACGAATAGCCAAACTCATGCCAAAGGTCCCTGTAGCTTTTTTATACTCCTCAAGTTGTGAACTAATGAGATC